AAGGTGGAATGGGCTGCCAAAAAGGCAGTGAGTACCTTGTCACTGGAAGGATTCAAGAGGATGCTAAGGGACCATTTGGCAGGAGTGTGTAACCTTTAGGAGTCCTCCATTCCCTGAGATTCCAGAATTCGGGATCCCGTCTTCCCCAAATCTCACGACTTCTCCTTGTTTGTTCCTCTCCAGGCCAATGACATCCTCATCCTCCGAAGCCATGAGTCCAACGCCCCTGGGTCTGCTGGTAGCCAGGCCTCAGAGAAGCCAAGGGAGGGGGCAGGGAAGTCACGAAGGGCACTACCTTTTACAGAGAAGAAGAAAAAACCAGAGACGTTTAATAAGACCCAAAATCAGGAAAACACTTTCCCTTGTAAAAAATGTGGCAGGTAAGATGGCAGGCCCTGTCTCCACTGAGACCTAGCAGGGTGGCTGTGGGCCGTTGGGGGTGGCATAGACTTTAGTTATGGGGAGGAGGAGGTAGTCTGAGCTTTTGCCTTGTCTTCTGATTGGCTCAGAGGGTTTCTAGGGCAGTGATGTCACCTGGAAGCTTTTAGAAGAGGCATGTTGGCACTGAATGGGAACCTATCCCTCCTGTAGTTGGAGGGTAGGGGTGGGCCACGTGGCGAGGGATAAGTCTAGAAGGACCTCCCCCACCTTCTACACATATACACACACACTCAAACTTTGTGGTCCCAGCGGGTGGGGACAGACCTCTTACTTGACCCCTCCTGCCTGGCTGCAGGGTGTTTTATAAGGTGAAGAGCCGCAGCGCCCACATGAAGAGCCACGCGGAGCAGGAGAAGAAGGCCGCCGCCCTGAGGCAGAGGGAGAAAGAGGCCGCAGCCGCTGCGGCCACTGCGGCCACTGCGGCCGCTGCCTCCCCACACCAGTCTGCCTTGCGAGAGGAGAGCGCTGGCGAGAGGGGCTGACCAGGAAGGCTCTGCTGCGAGGCCTAGGACTGGCCCTTCTTCCTGGGCGGCAGGCCCTTCCCTGACCAGCCTGCTGAAGTATCTACAAGTGCCCTGGAACCTCCAGAGGGAGAGAGGAGCAATCACGTGGACTTTTCTCTGAAAAACAAATAAGACAATAAAATAAACAGCTCTTTTATTTATAAAGGCCCCAGGAGCAGTGTTAAGGGCTGCAGGATCCAGTTCTCTGTGCATTTGGTCTGTTGGAAGTTGTCCTCTTGCTTTCCTGGAACTATGAGAGTCCCTGCTGGCTGGGGCTGCCCTCTGGGAGGGGCTCCAGCCTCTGACACTGGGACCCCTGCTGCCGCACAGTCTCTTCTCTTCCTCTTTGTGCCCCCTGCTCCCCTCAGTCACCATGGAGAGCGAAGCACAAGCTCACCACCCTTCTTTGCAGCATTATACCCCCTCCCCAGAGGACCTCAAAGACACTGCTCCAAGCCTTGGAAAAAGGGAATTCCTTGGAGGGAGTGTGGTGGCCATCTCTGAGAGGGACCTCAACCTGGCACCTGTGCTGTCCCCTACATGACAATGTCCAGGCCTAAGTTGCTCCACTGATCCTATCCTCAGGCCACCTTCTCCCTGGGAGGGAAGCTACCAGAATGCCTGGAGGGAGAGAGACTGAGGACAGGTACCTATCCCTGCTAGCAGCCTGCTGGGGTTGGAAAGTTTTCTCAAATGTTTGGGGAAAGGGCTAATATTCCTGCCCAAGCTTTCAGCCTGCTGGAAGTAAGGGAACTGCTAAGGATGGAAGCTTCAGGGCTAGGCCTGAAGGAGCTTTTGATTAGCTTTGGCTCTTCTTGCTTCCTACCTTTTTGCCAAATACCTTTGGGCTCTGGAGGCTGCTAAGGAAACTTAACCTAGGCCCAGCCTACCCCTCCTTGGTGCAAGTTCCCTGCCTGCCTCTGTCCTGCCCTTGGCAACTGCCACCTAACTCCATCCCACCTGGTCTAGGGCTGATATCCACAGCCCAGCCCCCAGTCCTGCATGCTCATGATTTCTGGATCCTTCCCTGGGAGGGGGAGGTCTCCTGGAACCAGATTAGACAGGAGCCTTCATTCCTTGACTTATGTCATTTGGGAGCTATTTATTTATTCTTAATATTTAATTTTTAACATCCTCTCAGGGACCAGGGGCCTCCTGCTTTTCAGAGGCCCAAGTGCATTTACCCCCAAACAAGGCACCTTCTTGGCGTCCACCCCCCCAACCCCCCCATTCCCAAGACCCTAAGGTCCCTCACCTCAGTTGCTTTGGAAGTTCTTGCCAATAGGAATGATAGCACTGAAAGAGGGTAGAAAGGTGGAAAATGTCATCAAAGCCACACAGGGACTAGCAAGAGCAAGAGAGATCAAAGGCAATTCTTGTTTGCTACCTCTTTTCTGGCTGTACTTTCAAGTTGCCTGAGGGGATTGGCTGGAAGCCAGAATTCTGGTTTTGTTTCTGGCTTGAAGAAGCCATATTTGGCATGGAGTCTCTGAAGTGAAAAAGCTGGAAGGTTCTGGAGGTCCCTTCACTTGCCAGTCCCACAGGAGGGCCGAGTTATTTTTCTGATCTTGTTACTCAATTTTAGTTGTGTAAAGAAGTTCAAAGTGAATGCAGGTCTATGACAGGTCAACCTGTTAGGAGCCAAAAAGCATTTTGCTGCTCCTTATGAGATAGCCTAAAGGCATCATGTTGGTAGCTGGGAGTGGGAAAGGAGTTTTGTTTCTAAACTATGCACTATCAGGTATTTTTCAGCATTCATTTACACATTAATATGGTTCTACAGGACCCCAGCTAAGGGAGCAACAGAATTCTCCCCTGGACTCCTGGATGGCTACGTAGATTTTCATCTTCCCAGTTAATTTCCTCCATAAACTACAAACTCAGTCCCAAGACTGCAAAAATCTGATATATACCCTCCAGAAACAGGAGGATAGCAAATTTAGGTTCTCTTCTAAATCACTTGTGTAATATGAGTGCCTTCTCAGCTTTGCCCCAAAGTGCTACTTATGTTTCCCAAGGTTTTTTCATTTAAATTGTATTTAGTTTCAGGCCTCTTTCTGGACATGTTGTAACAGCACCCTCCGCCCTCTAGAGTGATTCTCCTTTTCTAAGCTCATGGGAGACCAGACCAGAAGAATGTAGATGGAAAAAAATCAAGATGGTACCTTTCTGTATTAGTCCCACCAGACACCGTAATTCAGGATTCAAGCTCCAGGATGGACTTATATCTAGAAAGCAGTGTGAAAATTAAAATATTTAGAGGGCAGTGCAGTCGTGGCAAGTAATCTAATTAGATAGATGCAGCCCTAGAAGCTGGCATAGGTATATCCTTTATGGTGCTTTCTCCCTGTGAACGCATTAGGCTCATCTTTTCTTTTTCTTTTTTCTTCAGAGCTCTTTGCTTTAAAAAGTTAAATGACAAACACCTTCAGCTTTATAATGTCCTCCCCATACCATCTCACATAGCCATCTCCCAGCCTCCATTTGCACCCAGCTAAGGGCATGAAACCTAGTGCCTGTGTTCCAGACCATTTCTGAGGTCTCTTACCCAAGGAGACAGTACATCAGCACTGTCCTCCATGCCTTCAGCGGCCCCCCTCACAGCTAAAATACACACCTATCCCTTCTGTCACCCCACCTCCATCCCTGGTACAGAGGTTGTGTGCTGCTTATGTCTAAAGGGATTTCCTATATTTAACTGCCTCAGTGACCTCTTTCTTCTCATATGCCAGGTGTTAAGATGAAGGAGGAATACATATACTTAAGCCCCAGCTGTTTAAATATGTTTTCACTGGGGCTTACTTTTCTTGGATGGTATTTATTACCAGACTGGCAAGCCTAACTCCTTAGGTTTACAGGAAGTATGCATATTTTTATAAAACAATTGTATGTCCTCCACATATTTTGCTGTGTTAATATTTGCCTCTAACAATTTGAGCTGTTTCACTTTTTCCTCATTTGTCTCTAAGTTGAAAGCCTTGTTGGAGGGAACAGAGCACAGGAACAGCTTTGTCAGTCTGTAATTATTGTACAAATATTTTAATAGCACATAAATAAGTATATTCTTTTTATTTTGAAAAAAAAATCAGACACTGCCTTTTGTGTTTGCTGCCTGTGGCACCCTTTTTAAAAAAGACTGTTACATATTAAAATAGTGTACATATATAAATATTACCTCTTTTGCTGTACAGTTGTGATAGACCAGACTGAAGATTTTATTTTTTGTGTGCTTTTTATAAAAAAATTAATACACTAAAGAAAATCTTGCTGACGTGATTGTAATGTACCTATGTAACTTATTTACTTTTGAATGTTCTTCTGTATCTTTAAACCTTTTATTAAATAAGGTTTTAAAAATTCAGTTGAATGCTGTGTTCTTTCAGGTAGATTTTCACCATCTGGGATTGACGTAAGCAAGCCTCATTGTGCTTGCAAGGGATTGACATTTATGAACCATAAAAATTCTCTTTCATCAGTCCATTGCCAATGATGCCAGGTCAGGGGAAATTAATAAACTAGCATTTCCCTGACTATAAAGACTACTGAATATAGATCTTTTTACAAAATTTTAGACAAGTCTCAACTCAGTGTCTCACACAAAAATATGTAAATGGCATACTTCCAATATTTTCGTTTCACTGGGATAAAATATGGAGAGTGCAGATGCGATCAGGGAAGCCCTGGGGCTAAAGAGGATGTTTTCAGATGCAGCACTGACTCTGCAAAGGCGACTTGAGTAGACAACTCAGCCATGACGGACACATTTTCAACAGTATCATCTTAAATCCATGCCAGAAGTATATTATTATTATCTTTTAAGCACGGTGCTTTGTAAAAAAAATAATAATAATCTGGAAATTATAAAAAAGAAGATGCGTCATCAGAGAAACTAGCGCCAGCAGCCCCTGGCTGGCACCATGGCAACCGCTCGACCCTCCCCCACCCCTCCCAGGCCTCCGGAGCGCGCGGATCTCGCGCCGTCTGGGCCACCGTTGCTATGGCTACACTGGAGCTGGAATGAAGGCGGGGTCAGAGCAGGCGGAAGCCATTCCCCGCCCTCCACTGCGGCAGTCACTCCGCTGGCTGCGGTCGGGTCAGGCTGCAGCCGCGGTGAGCCTGCTGCAGCCCGCGCTTCCGCCGTCTGTATCCTCGGTCCTCGGCCGTCCTTGCCGCCCAGAGGGTTCTCAGCCTGCGAAGGAGCCGCTCCCGGGCTGATCCTGCCGCTGTTGCTGCGACCGCGGGACACTCTCCCTCTCCAAGGGCGGCACAGCCCTCGTCTGCAAAGCAGCCGCCCCTCGGCCGCCTGAAGGCCCGGTTCCGACCGCGAACGTCCGATCGACGCCCGCAGCAGCGACTGCCTGGCGCGCCGGCCGCGGAGAGGAGGCGGCCACACCCCCGCGACCACACCCCGGCGGCCTCGCCAGCCCGGCGGCTCCTGCCCTCGCCACCCGCGCTCTCTCCAGGCCTTCCACGCTGCGGCGGGTCCGGACCCCCGACCTGCAGCTGGAGGACCCCGCTTCGCAGACGGCGACCTGAGACGCAAGATGGCCGCGACCGCGTGACTGACCGGCTGCGCATTCCAGAGGCTTCGCGCCGCGAACGCGCCGTCGGACGCACTTGGAGGAGCAGCGAAAGGACAAGAGCTGGACTCTGGTGTCGTTTGTTATATCTGATTGTGTGAAGCTTGCTTCCCGTGGGCGTTTTGGGGACAGCGTCTGCTGTTCCAAGTCCTAGAGCACAGGGAGCCACGGTCTGATCCCTATTTGTAGAATTGGGCCCTTGATAGTTGGGAAAATGGCGATGACACTGTTGGAAGACTGGTGCAGGGGGATGGATGTGAACTCCCAGAGAGCCCTGCTCGTCTGGGGGATCCCAGTGAACTGTGATGAGGCTGAAATCGAAGAGACCCTCCAGGCTGCGATGCCCCAGGTGCCCTATCGAGTGCTTGGGAGAATGTTCTGGAGGGAAGAGAATGCGAAAGCAGCCTTGTTAGAGCTCACTGGCGCTGTAGATTACGCGGCCATCCCCAGGGAGATGCCGGGTAAAGGAGGGGTCTGGAAAGTGGTCTTTAAGCCCCCGACTTCCGATGCTGAATTTTTAGAAAGGTTGCACCTCTTCCTAGCGAGAGAGGGGTGGACCGTGCAAGATGTTGCCCGTGTCCTTGGGTTTCAGAACCCCGCTCCGGCCCCAGGCCCAGATATGCCAGCAGAGATGCTAAACTATATTTTGGATAATGTTATTCAGCCTCTTGTTGAGTCCATATGGTACAAGAAGCTGACGCTGTTCTCGGGGAGAGACATCCCGGGGCCTGGGGAGGAGACCTTTGATCCCTGGCTGGAGCACACTAATGAGGTCATAGAGGAGTGGCAGGTGTCTGATGTAGAAAAGAGGCGGCGATTGATGGAGAGTCTTAGAGGCCCTGCCGCTGATGTCATCCGCATTCTCAAGACTAACAATCCTGCGATAACCACCGCCGAATGCCTGAAGGCGCTTGAGCAGGTTTTCGGTAGCGTCGAGAGCTCTCGGGATGCGCAGGTCAGATTTCTGAATACTTACCAGAACCCAGGAGAAAAGTTATCGGCTTATGTTATACGCCTGGAACCTCTACTGCAGAAGGTGGTGGAGAAGGGGGCCATAGATAAAGATAACGTAAATCAGGCCCGCCTGGAGCAGGTCATCGCTGGGGCCAACCACAGCGGAGCCATCCGGAGGCAGCTGTGGCTGATCGGGGCTGCGGAAGGGCCGGCCCCTAACCTCTTCCAGTTGCTGGTGCAGATCCGCGAGGAGGAGGCCAAGGAGGAAGAGGAGGAGGCTGAGGCTGCCCTCCTGCAGTTAGGCCTGGAGGGGCACTTCTGAGCCCCAGGAAACGGAGCTTTAGTGCAGACCTAGATCACAGTTGCTTTCGCGTCTCTCTGCTGTCTTATAGGTATGTCTCTTACTAATAAATTCTTGTTTTCTGAGGGGAAGTCAGGCCTGCGTATTCATGTAACATTAGTAAAATCATGAGAGTGAGCAATCCTGAGCCGCTACAAGAGAGTCATGCTAGCTGAAATGCCAGGTAAAGGCTTGGACCCAAGTACTCAGTGCAAGCTGTCGTTGTGGCATCATCATAAGTTGTGGAAAACGTGAACTTGTGACACTTCTGATTGAGGTACTTAAATGTAAAATTGCATGTTCAGATGTTTAGCCCAGAGCCTGGCTAATACAGGAAATGTTGAGTAAAAATATGAACTATTACTAATATCGTGAGTTACTAATATTTTGAGTTTCGTGTTTACTGAAGATTGTTCCTGATTTATATTAATGGAAAGAAATGTGAATCATATTATTAGTTGCACTTTACAGTGCTAATTTCTCAGTTTTCATCTTTAGACATCTGGATTAGTATAATCGAAAAGTATTCTGAGACTACAAAATGAGTTGGAAATTTAGAGCTGCGTAAATTAGAATTTTTCACTGTATGAGATATAAATCGCATGGGTAGGTTAATATGAACCAGTTACAGTATCCATTCCCCCATTTCAAATCTTTGTCATTGGCTAGTAGTTCTTATTCATGCTGATTATAAGTATTCTAAATTGGAAGTTATCAAATACATGTATACAAATAAAAATATTTTAAAAATTCTATTGTCTTCTCGTTTTTCTGACCTGTATAAAAAATTTCAGTGTAATTAAAATCTATATCCTCTTTTCTTAGACTTCATATCACTAAAAAAAATCAAATTTCAATTTTATCTTTAAGCTTTATATCATACTATGCAAATTTAAATTGCAATGCTCTTTATTCAATTTTTGCGTGTTTTCTACAAGAGATATAAGTAAATATAAAAATAAAACATTAGGAAATGCTTAAATGACATTTAGGAGATTATCTAGCAATGCTCTTTCTCCCCTTTTAAATCTCTTTTCAGCTAAAAATGTTTTGCAGGAGTAACTCATACCTATGTAAAATGAATGTTTTGGTTTTACAGCAGCCATTTTATATATCGAGAGGATATAAAAAGGGAAATATGGCTTAAAAACATGTTTATTTGGCTGCAGAGATTCGGTGATGTAAGAGGTCCATCATTTGAAATTCTAATAAATCGAAAAGTGATTTTTTGAACATAGCGTCAGTGGGCTTTTCACCAAGATTTACAAGATAAATCTTGTAACAAGGCTTTAAAATTATAGCTAACCTATTGCAATAATAAGGTAAAAGTTGTATTTATAAAGGCTAATACTGGTATGTGTTCTAACATTTTCCTGTACACTCATGTCTTCACTTGCCATGTTTTCCTTTCACACTTCTCTCAATATATATTTGACCCCGACAATGGATATGCAAATTTTCACTCCCCACAAGCATGTCCTCATTCCCCCTCCCCAATTAGCTTCTTCCTTTTCCTTTCCCACACTCCCCTCCCCTCACAATCCTGTCTTTGCACACTCGCACACTCCCACTTTCCCCACAACACTCCATCATAAATATACTCTCCACCACACACACACTGTACCAGTCTCCAACCCCATCATAAGTTTCCATTTCTCCATACCACCAACCAACCAGTGTGAGTGTGTGTGTGTATATATATGTGTGTGTGTGTGTGTGTGTGTGTGTGTGTGTATATATATGTATATATATATATGTATACATATATATATATACCCCCCCACAAACACTCCCACTCTATATACATATACACATAACAATGGGTTATTTTTTTCACTCAATCTATTATGGGCATCCTATGCACATTCTTTTTATAGCTGCAGAGTTGACTGCATTTTAGGAGGGAGGGTCATCACTTGGGATCCTTTTATTATATATAACGATTGTATTTACATGTACATACATATGTATTTAAAACAGTACATATCTATAGTGTAAAACAATGTCAGGATTCTAGATGTCCATCCTTTGCTCTAGAAAACAATGAACTAAAAAATAATGAGCTATTTATGATCTGAGTTAAGGTTTTCTCTTTATAGGCTTATACATTAAAATCTTCCTGCTTTTTTAAGGGAGGACAGCAACAAGAAACATTCTATAACCAAAGAACTGTGAAATAAAGAAGTAGAAGCTACAATACAATCCCATTCTGTGACCAAAATTACATTTATTTGGCTGATAGCACACAATATGTGCTGGGAAAATATTAATGTCACTGCTGTTGCTCAGTTCCTGTTTCTTGTGTATAAAAAGGACCTAGCCAACATCAGGTTATTCCAGATCAAGGGCCTATCAGCCAACCTTAACCTTGCAGACTTCTGAAACTGAGAAGAGAACTAGGAATGGTGTAGTGCAATAGTGACTCGCAGTACCTGGAAGCATGCTTTCTAAATGGTGCCCAGAGAACTTCTGGGGAAGACCTAGAAACCTGAGAGGAAATTATCATTAGTAGTGAACTACTGGAAAAAAGAGAGAAAAAAAAAAAGGCAAAGAAATGAAATTCTTTTTCTCCTTCCCTCTCCCTCACACACACAGCTGTGGAATGTTATACAAAGACTGAATTTCTTCAGAATTGAGTATCATTTGAAGTTCACATTGTAACCAAAAAAGATACAAATTAGTTTTTTATAAAATAACACAATTTATTACTATTTTAAAACAAGTCTCACAAAATAACATTCAGAAACTCAACATTTCTAAATAATTTAACACAATAAGTTTAGTCATAAAGTCAAGCTACAAAATTCCTGCATATAAAAGATTATTACCAAAGTATTAATAGATGTTAAAATGTTCTTCAGAATGGAGTTGGTTCTAGAAGCCTAAGATTCTGGAATGATGCTTGTGAACCAGACTGACACCCTAGGAGAAGTAGCTAGCAATATGTATAATTCTCTACAGCCACCGACTCCCCAGTCTTTTAATGGGATTGATCACTCCAGGCAACAGCACCTCAGAGGCAGGTAACCTGCTAATCAAAGAAGCAAAGAAATTCCCACTCTCCTAACATTAGCCACAACTTAATTTAGCCAACATCTAAATTAATTTTTAAAATTGATGTAGGAAAGATAATTCACAAAATTTCTATAACAACTAGCAGAATTATACTTAACACATCCCCCCAAGGATGACTGTCAATGTAGCAGATATGGACGATGACACCAAGTGGGAAAGTAGGGAAATCCTGACTCTGATTATGTCAACACACAACTCTTGCTCAGGTGGGCCTAAAACAAAACAAGCAAGGCTGAGGTTTGATTTTCTAATACATGCAGGCAAGGTATTTGCCCACCTGCCCTTTGGGAGTGCCTTCCACCAACATCCAGTTCATAATTTTAAAGTGCAAATCTACTGAAAAATAGTTTACTCTCCCTCACCCCCTTGCTAAATTTACTAGATCATAATTTGGTTAGCTGGTTCCCCTCTCACCTGCCCAATGTGGGAAATTAACTAGAATCCAGTTATGACTTCTCCAAATGCCAAGTGAAAATTTTAGGTCAGGAAAAGGTAAGACAGTCCAGTTATTCCTTTCAGTTTTCTTTCTTTGTAGTCACTGGTTTATAAAAAGGCAGGAATAGAGAGATAGATGTGGGATTTCTAAACTTTAGTGATTTTTTTAAAAAAACATACTCATAATTTTTTTTATTGCACCTATTTCATGGTTTTATAAACAAACAAAACCCTCATGCTAGAGTGAAGATAAAGAAATATGGTCAAGTTAGCTGTGTCAGAAAGAACCTACTCTGCTATACTGAATCTTGTTTCATATGTAATTATTTACATACACATTAAGCAGCCCAAATAAAGAAATTATATGCCAAAGGAATTAATTTCTGGTAAAGGATAACTTTCAGTTTAGCAGTTAGTTTCCTCCCTTTACCACTACTTAACAAATGTAAAGTCTTTGTGAACTAACAGTCAGAGACATTAATTACTCACGATTGATGCTTTGACACTTTCCCCTAATTTTTTTAAGTTAATGATTAAATCCAACCTTCCCAGGCCCTACACTCTTTTCATTTAGGACTAAGAAAAACCCAGGTAGAAGATTCTGGGTCACAGAGATAACTACCTTCAACTCTACTTACACATCACCAATTCTGAGAATAAATCAACAGTTAAGATTCATTTCTTATTCCTCCTTATTCTACTTCAGACCACTGGAAAAAGTGATCAGAAGAAGCATCTATTCAAGTCAAAATTTCTCTTTCCAGACAGGAACCACATTTAAGTGTCTTATACCACCTCTACTTGTAGAATGGATCCAGTAACCAGACATTCTTCTAATCACATCCAAAATTAGTGTCTACACCAGTTAACTTTCATATATGATTACCAAATTGTATACAATATTTTTCTGTATTTAATGACGGCTACAGTCTGCAAAATTTTGTGCATTACTGGATAATGAATGAACACTTAAAGAATGATGATCCATTTTCTAGAAGATACTCAAAATGTTGAACTTTAGAGACAAAGCAAAATCTATCATTAAGTTGGACTCTGTTGTTAGCAAGAGCGAGGTAGGTTAATAATCATTGTTCTCAGATAAGCAAAATGCTAAGAAATAAAAGTTGAGACTCTGCTGAAAAAAAAAAAAGTTGAAATTTCCAGCCCTGAGTTTCTAATGTTAGGTGAATTGTGTGAGAATTATTAAAATGAGATCACGGAAGTAGAAAACACCAATAACCACCTCCTTACATCTATGATTATTAAATACATCATTTCTGTCATACAACTCAGGTGGCATACAGCTACGAAGTGAAAATAAATGAACCTTGGACAAAAAGAATGTTGATATAAAACACTGGTTCTTAACTAGGGATAAATTTGTTCCCACTTCTCTGCCCCAGGAGATAGATGGCAATGTATGAAGACATTTTCGGTTGTCACAACTGTGGAAAAGGTTCTACTGACATCCAGTGAGTATAAGTCAGAGATGCTGCTAAACATCCTATAATACACAGGACAGTCCCACACAACATTATTAACCCCAAAATGTTGATAGTGCCAAGAATGAGAAACTGATTTAAAAGAACAAACTCCTATTAACAGAGAACACAAAACTTTTCGAGGCCTGACTAGGTAATACTGGCATAAGCTTAGAGTTAGGGAATATAGAAAAAGTGAATCCTCTGTAGACTAAATCGAGTTTCCTATGGAAAAATTAAAATATTGGACTGATTCCAGAGCTCTAGCATCATTATGAGAATAGAAGAAATTTAAATGATCCACTAAAATAGCATAATGTTTTAAACTGGGAGCACAGAGAATCCATTCCAAGTAGGTCAAAGACCTAATCCAAGAAGCATAAATTTGCAGTAGTAAAGGGTGATTTAAGGAATGATTTGAGAGACTATTCTGAACTTCTTCCTCCACTCTATCTTCCATTTTCCAATGGCATGGATTCTGGCTTTAATTCGATGAAGGAGATGCATAGAAGTTAATCAAATATTTGTCGAATGGAACTGAATGTGAATTTTGTGTGAAATAGACACAGAAAAATCACGTTACATATTTCTCTGAGAACTACCAGTGATTAAGACATTTAAAAATGAGGAGAAACTGAAAAAAATAGTTTCTATACTGCAGACTTAAAAAATAAAAACCCAAACACCAACACTGTAAGCCATTTTACAAAAACATTCAATATGAAGTCATCCGTTCCCTATTATATTCACTTCCATAGTAACTTTTAGAAAATACATCCATACATAGCAATATGGCTTCAAGCTTGCCTACTAGATGACGTTCATATTACAAATAAAGAAAATAATCTTCCCTCTTAGCTTCTGGGCCTTGAATATCACTGAGGTGAAAACTCACTGCCTGTGGTGCACAAAAGAAATACCCATACACTTTGAATTATAAGCCAGTCAGAGTAAAGATTTTTTTCCTATCAGATTGTAACAAAATAATAAAAAGAAGCTAAAAAAAGGTGTTGGATTATTTTTCTTTTTGTTCGTATTTAGAATTGATTGTCAAAGCAGTGGTCCCTTTTGATCAGACTATGAGAAATCATATAATTCCTATTTAAACGATAGCTGAAAACTTCTGAAACCCAAGACTACTTATGTGATCACTTTAAAAAAACGACTCTTCTCTCTTTGACTGATTTTAAACAAGTAAATGGGAAAATAGTCTCTGGTTGAGGGACTTTAGGCACGATTTGGCAGAGGGCCTCTGACGTCTTTTCTACAGTCTATCAGTGATTTTGGTCATGGCCTGCTATGGACTTCATCTGGTTACTGACTACCATATCTTGCATTTTCCAAAGAGAATTCTCTTTCTTATATGATAAACTCTAAGCTCTGCATCCAACTAGTGCTTTGCAATTTTGAGGTTACATCACCTACAATGCTTCACAGAGGAGACAATCCTCAAAAATTTTGCCATTTGCTTGGGATCCCATAATGAAACATCTCTTTTCTCTCCACAACCATTTACATAATTCATTTTAAAAGCTGTTTAACTTAGAACTTTCCTAAAAATATATTTTGAAATACTAAATTTCATTTATTGAAAGGTGCCAAATCCAGTCCATACCCTTATAACAAATCACTTCTCCCAACATAGGAGTCTACAAGACCAAAGTTATTAGGGCAAATTTGACATGTATGAATGGCCAAGATTTAGGCTAGGAATTCAAATAAAGCTAATGCTTATATATATTTCCTTACATAACATATAAGGAACTGTAAACCAAAAAGTGTGCCTAAGATCAGGTCCACATGAGTGACACGACCACAGTACTGGTCAAAGGAATAATCATGACCATCATTTTAACCACTGATCTGGGTCACAGAATGACTGACTGACTAAGCACAGTGATTCAAGTGGCCATGCATGAACACACAACCTAAATTCCAATTGACAATGCACACATTTTTGGAAAAACAAATAAGTAAACATAACGTGGGCTATAAGGCCTCCGGGATTTTAATTTTTCCTTTTTTCACCATAGCTCTTCCACTATGACTTTGAAGTCTTGGTTCTATGGCTGCTGCTGCATTTCTAAGAGGAACTCTTCCTGTCACTTGCTGCCTTCTGAACAAAAGGCATGTACACATTTGTGCTTCTGTGTCATGAGGAGATGGACCTTCAGGAAAGCTGGTCTACAGATTCAAAAGTTAAGTATACATATTTAAATGCCTGGCCTAAAAAAAAAATTGAATAAAGAACCACATTTGTTCCTTTGTTGTTGTTAAAAATGACTGGTCTATAAAGGTTTCAGCAGATGGGATCCTTCAGTACAGAACTGGGACTGAACATAAAAACTGAAAATTTACAGTTACTAAAAAGGGGACTACAATATATAAAGTTGGTGTTACCACTTTGGGGGAGAAATACTGAATAGGTTAAGAAAAAAAATAGGAATCAGAGATTTGTTTTATCTTAAGAACCTTTTGCCCCACACAGAATCTTTAAAATGGACAATTATACAAAACTTATCTATTGTTCTTATGACATTTAAATAAGTTAACACAAGGTGGAAAACGTGGTATTAGTTTTCTTCTTCCTCATCTTCTTTAATAACTGGGGTACCTAAAATAAAAAAGAAAATTATTTCCAGTATTTTCAACAGATTGTTAAAATTCTAAATGAAAATATTTTCCAGTTAACCTGAGAAGCTCTGAAATGCTGTGAAGTGTGCCATAATAAAAATAATTTCATAAAATAATTTTTGATTTTAAATTATCCAAAAAGCTCTCAGGAGAATTCTCAAATGGATCAATACAAGTATTTATGAATATTTAGCTCTCCAAATGCAGAGTTGCAAATAAAAATGCCCAAAGGTGCCAGGCAGAAAAATAAAGCCCTATACATACTGAAAATGTTGTACGTTAAACACAAAGAAATATTCTTTATTGTTCACAATAAAATATGCAGTCCCAATCTGAATTTTATGTTCCTCCCCCAAGTATGAAACATTAGGAATAAATTGGAGGAAAAAATAAAAAGAACCAAAGCATAGAAAACAAAATACATTTGCAGGTTCTCACTGGGCCAAGGGCCACCCATTTCTAAGCTCCTGCATTTGAAGCATGCCCACAATCTTACCCAGTCAACTAACTATTCAGTCTTAATTCTTTAGTCAGTCACCCTTCACTCCAGCTAAACTGCTCAAAACTCACTGTTTCCCAAACTCATCTTGCACACTCTTAACAGTGGATTCTTAGTTAACAAAGTACTTCCATCTTGGAATGCCCTCCCCAACTCTCCTTTCATCTAAACTCTACTCTTAATTAAGAACCAATTCCAGTGCCTCTTCCTCTGTCATCCTTTCTAAATGAACATTTATGTTCTTTATGGCTATGAGCAGAGGTTTACCTCTCTATACTCCCTACAGCAGCAGTCTCCAACTTTTTTGGCACCAGGGACTGGTGCTCCTATTAGAACCTAATGCTTGATGATCTGAGGTGGAGCTGAGGTGGTGATGCTAGCACTAGGGAGCAGCTGCAAATACAGATGAAGCTTCACTCACTAACCTCCTGCTGTGTGGCCTAGTTCCTAACAGGCCACATACCAGTACTGTTCTACAACCTGGGGGCTGGGGACCCCTGCCTACAGCATCTGTTTGCTGAGAAGGGAGGGAAAAGGCATCAGGGAGTGAATGTTTTATTGCAGTATAACATACATAAAAAGTAGAGCATACATACAAAGTTCACAAAATACACAAAAAGTGTACAGATCAATAAACGTACACGAAGTGAACACATCTAGTAATCAGTACTGAGAATAGGCAGAGAACATTACCAAAATCCGAAAAACTTCCTCAGGCTCCTTCTAGTCACTATCCTCTGACAAAAGGTATAATCTACCCTACCATGTAACACTATAGGTTATTGTGACTGTTGTTGAAATTGATATGAATGTAATGATAGCATGCACTCTATGTCTGGCTTCTTTTGCTCAACATTTTGTTTGTATAATTCATCTATATTGTGTGCTATAGTTCATTCACTCTCATTGTTGTTTAATATTCTATTGCATGAACATGTCATAATTTATCTATTCTACTATTGATAGGCATTTGGATTATTTCAAAGTTATAGCTACAAAAATAATGCTGCATGAACAGTCTCATAAATGTCTTTTGGTAAACATACATACCTTTTTCTTCTGGCTATACAGCTAAGAGAAAAACTGTTGGGTCATAAGGGATATGTATGTAAAGTTTTTGTAGATAATGCTAGTTTTCCAAAGTGGTTATACTAAGTTACATTAATTACCATCTGGCAAGGTATAAGAGTTCCAGTTGCTTCACATCACACTAACATTTGGTATTGTATGTCTTTTTCATTTTAGCTTTTTAAGATCTCTCAGTTTTGTTTATAAGCAACACAAGAGGAGCAAAAATTGGCAAGTTAGCAGCCGTGACCATCCCTCTGGTCTATCCCACCACTGGTTTAGTATAGACCAAGTTGGTTCTTCTAGGGGCTGTTCAGATTGGCCTGAGGGCAATGCTTGGTCCAAAAGGCTAAAATATGGCTTGGTCTGTTTACATAAGGGATTCAGTTACATTCTTAAGGGAAGGGGTTCACTTCCTGTGTGCAATCCTGAAGGAAGTAAAGACAAATGATTTCAAATGGTTTCTAGAATCCAGCCAAAAGTCAACATTTTTATGTTGAACATATTTTAGGCAGAAGTCCAAGATGTCTAATGTGTAATAAAGCTACCCTCTCCTTTTTTTATTTCAATTTTTAACTGTGAAATTTCATTCATACAAATACCATACAAATACTTTAAAGAGTAACAAAACCAATGACTGTATACCCATCACTCATTTTAGGAGCTAGAATAGAACATTATCAGTATCTTAGAAATCTGTTTGCCTCTTCCTGATTATTCTTGTACCTCCCCACAAGAGGTAATCTACTATTTTTGTCATTTTACCCCTAAGTATGTATCCAGAGGGAAAAAAAGAGAACACTTTGCATGATTCCGTTTATATAACACTCTAGAAAATACAAATCAATCTATAGAGACAGAAAGCTGATCAGTAATTCTCTTGGGAGGGATGGTGGTGAAGAGCAGAGGGAAGGGTTACAAAGAGGCAAAGGGAAACTTTTGAAGGTGATGCATATTTTCATTATCGTTTTTTCCCCAGCTTTATTGAGATATGATTAACATTTACATTGTGTAAGTTTAAGATATAAACATGATGATTTGATATACATAAATACTATGAAAGAATTACCACAATAAATTTGGTTAACACATCCATCACCTTATAGTTACCTTTTTGTGTGTGTAGTGAGAACTTTTAAGATCTGCTCTCTTAGCGACTTTCAAGTATACAATATAGTATTGTTAACAGTAGTCACCATCATATATATGTTCACTATATTAATTGTGGTGATGGTTTCAGGTGTATACATATTTCAAAACATCAAGTTATGTACTTTAAATATGTGTAGTTAATTTTATGTAGTTAA